CGGATGGTTAGGGATAGCTGCCCATTCCTCGACCTGGTCCTAGTTGATTTCTGGGTAGGCGTGGAAGGCCAGGCGCCGAGCAACATTAAACCCGTTGTCAAAACCTTCTTCATATTGTGCTCGGGTGTAGATGCGAACCTTCAGCAAATTATTGGCAGCCGAGATATTTGCCTTCGCCTTTTCAACCTCTTCTTTGGGCTTGGCAGTTTCCTCAATCTGCACCGCTAACTGGTCCTTCAGCTCTTGTAAACCGAACCTCATGGCAGACAGGTCAAAGTCCTTGGCATCCAGATGGCTGATATGCCGCTGAGTCTTAGCCTCATGATTTGCCCGCTCCATCTCCAAATCCTCGGCCATAGCTTGCCGAGTTTCTGCCTCTTTCCTCATCTTCTCCTCAATCCGAGCTTTGAAACTTGGAAGGTCAACGGTGCCGTACTCCTGAATCAAGGCATGGCCCTCCTCAATCCAGGGAAAACGGTTCGCTCAATCACTTGGCAGAAATCTCGAAGCTGAGCATCCACCTCCCTCATTCGAGATAGGCTGGTAGAAGATTCTTCTTCTGCCTTTTTGTATTTTAGCTCATACAGCCGAGCCCGGTTCTCAGCTTCCTCTACCATGAGCCTCAACTCTTCATTCAAGCCAGCCGCCAACACATTGTTGTGGACAGCCTGACAAGATTGGAAAATGCATTAGCCGAGGAAAAGGAGATGTAAAAAAAAAAAGAGAAGAAAAGAGAATTAGAAAGCAAGCAAGCTTAAGCCAAATGTTTGAAGTATGAATTACCTGCATCAACAACTTTTTGTTCTTAGCAATAGGGTCTGGCACCCTCACCAAAGGTTCGGCCACTCCCGCAACTGCGCGAATGGACCACCTCTCAGCTCTCTCCAGCTCAGAAACGCTAGACAGGTCACCAAAAAGCTCAACGGCTGAGCCTCGGTGAAGATGAAGCTATCCCTGATAGCTTTAGGAACTACCACCATGGAGGTAGTCTCAAAGCCCATCTCTCCGGACTAAAAGGTTTTGAAAGTGTGCCCAGCAGATGATGGAATATCAGACGCTCTAGGACCCTCAACTCTTCATCCGCCTCCTTAAAATCATTGGGTCTCCTCGACAAAACCTGCTCATCGTCGTCCTCGGAGTGCTGCACAATGAGTGCATCAGCTTCTCACTGGACTTTCTCTGTGAAATCCTTGGCCATATGCCGAGGAGACCCTGTCAGGATAGGAGGAGTCCTTTGCTGCACTTCTTCCTCCTGATGCTCAGGAGGAGGGGGAGTCTTTTCCTTAATGACCTTGGCCTAGGGCTCGGCCAGCCAAAGTGTCTTACTCGCAGGCTCCGAAACTAGGAATTCTCTCGGATCAACAACGCCTCTTCTCAACCTCCTCCTCCCAGGACCTGCCATCTCTTTCTCTGAAGAGTCATCTGAAGAAGAGGCAACTCTTTCAGCTTCCTTGTTTTCTTCTTCTTCGTCAGACTGCAGTAGAAAAAACAAGGGGGGCAAGGGGTGATATCGGTATCATCAATAAAAAAAAAACAAACAAACAACGGCAATAGAGAGAAAGAGGCATATTAGCCGAATCTTAATACTTAGAAAAATTTTCATTGAAGATTCAAGCGAAATTCTAAGTTAAAGCAGAAAAGTTTAAAAGCACTTAAAAAGCTTACCGAACTTCTTAGTAGCTCTTCGTGTGAAGCAGTGCGCACGTTCGGCCCAGCAACAGATGTTGATGGCTCAGCGTTGTGCTCGGAGTTTACAGCAAAAACCCCAGCCCTAACAGCAGCTGCAGCTGCAACAATTTGCTCTTCAGGACCAAGCAAAAAGAACGGGTCCCTCTTCAGATACCACGGCTTCTAAGCAGACTACCCAGCTGGTTTAACGATTTCCAGCTGAGAAGGGCCCGCAGGACCCCTAGAAGATGGAGGGGTGATAGCAGGGTCACGTCTTGTCACCCTCCGAGCTGCGTTGATCCCAAGCCGGTTGTATACTAAGCCGCAATTTCCTTCGTGCAGCACTTAAAAACCACAAAGAAAACAAAGGGTTATTCTACATGAAGAAATAAGGCTTTAACAGAAGAAAACTAAGCTTAGTAAAGATTTTTGGCCCCAGCCGATGTTTTCACCATCTTAAAACTTTCGGCTGAGGCCGACAGCAGCCAATATCTTCTCTTTGAAGATATAGTGGTAGCAAGGGAGTCAGGTCTCGGGAAACCCATTTGTTCGACTGGCACCCCTCTCATTTGAATCTCTCTTAAAGAGTTTCAGCAACTCCTCTTCCTCGGCAGAAAAATTATCGGGGCCAAGGATGCTCATTTTCGGGTCAAGCGTTCTCAAATGCCTCGGCCCCCCATAATAGTTCGGATGGTCCTCCTTGGCAGGAGCCCAAACCCAAATCCATTGACCTCTCCATTCCTTGTCCGAAGTGTCATTCGGCCAAGTGGTCAAATACCCCCTCCGGGACTCTATTTTCCACCACCCGGGTCCATGGTGCTCATTAGACTGCTGGTTCGGCACCAATTTATGCAGTTTTCTAAAGACATGGATGCTCGGCAAAAATCCGTAGAAAAGACTGACCCATAGAAATGTCATAACTTTTCGGATGCTAACCGGGTCAATTGGCACAGACAAATGTTGTACCCGTTCAGCACTTGGACAATAAAGGGTTAGAGAGGGAATCTGAGGCCAAACTGCAGCTGCCTGGTGTATACGCCTAGATAACCAGGTGGAGACCTGTGAATTCTATCTTCAGCTACGGGCATTTGGCACCAATACCCATCTTCCTCCATTATGCCGTAGAAGATTTCTATTTTCTCAGCGAAATGATGGAGGGCATCCCCTTTGACCCACCAGTCATAGTGGGCAGCAGTCATTAACCCGCTGTTTTTGGGCGGATTTTTCCATTCTTCGGCTCCGTCCGGCAGTCGCCGAGGCCCGTGCCTAGAGCCGCTGGTTTAGGTTGTGGCCTCTTCCCAACCTCTGTACGGCACCGAGGTCAAGGGAATTGCAGCAACAGAGGGCTCGTGAGAGGAAACCCTATCTTCTCTCCTTGGAAGTGGAGAGTTGTGGCTGTGGCTGAGAGGGGGCATTCGCTGTAAAGGCTGGCTGCACTGAGCACCCAGCACAGTCATCTGAAGATCTTCCTCCTCACTCGAAGAACTTTCCCTCTCAATTCTACTTCTAACCATTTTTTACGAAGAAATGGATATTGGGAAAAAGTGTAAAATACTCAAAACAAGAAAAACCCGAGCAAATTTCGGAAAAAGTTACCTTGACTAGACTCGGAATTCGCCGATCTTCAAATTCGCAGCAGCAAATTCTGATTTCAGCAACGGAATTGTAGAGATTAAGGGCGACGAAAAGCTAGGGTTTTCAGTGAGTTCAGTAAACTTAAGGAAATTCGTGTGTTTGTGAGGAAATTGATTAAGGAAAGTGGAAAGGGTGCTTTCATATAAGGGTTTCAGGGATCAAGAATTCTAGAAGCCTTAAGCCGCCAAAAACCCCACGAACTCCAAATTAAACACAAACTGTCACACGTTCCAAGTTAACTACACACTAAACCCTCTATCTTCCCTAATTAATCTCCTTAATGGAAGTTAAACATCAGTAATTGCCTAGATTCCTTCAAAGTCAAGTTGCCGTTATTTGTCCTTTTAAATTCGCAAGTCAAACTCAACCTGTCTTTCAGCCGAATCAGGTCTAGGGGGCAAGTTGTTAGGGTCCAATTCAGTCCACCTAATTGGGCCCAGTCCAAATAACTCAACTCAAGCCCAAAGCAAGGTTCCACTCTCCAAAAGCATGCTAAGGTCAATAAAGCTCAGTCAATGTGGTCTGCCCACTTGACTTCAAAGGCCCAACTCTCCTCAATTGAGTCAAGGTATAAAAACCATCAAGTACATCCTTTTACATTCATGCAGCTAAAGCTTCAAGCACTAAATCTCTTGCATAGCATTCTCTCTCAATTTAACTGACTTTAGCATAGGAGGGGCCTTCCTCGGCAACCACCCCCGAGGCTAGTTTACATGTTCTTTACTGTGCAGGAAACCCTCGGCTCCAGCATTATTTGGGCCGAGACCAGTCTTCTCCACCTTAAAAAGGGTCATCCGAAGGCCCCATTGTTTTCATACCGAAATAGTATGTATAATTTTTTTTTTTAAGTAAGGAAAACGTGGTCTATTGATCGAAATTTTTACTAGTCAATCTGATCAAACTTACCTCACAACTTTGACAGCACAAGTATTTTATAAGTTATATTATGTTATTTATTTATTTATTTTAATTAAAAAAAATCAATTAATAAAAACTTTCTCGCCTCTTCCTCTCTCCCTCTCTAAAAAACCCCAAAATTTTTGGTAGCCGCAAGGGGCTACCATCATCATCTCTTTGATGATGGTAAGCCCCATTTCTTTCTTTATTTTCTTTGTTTTTTGTTTTTGAGTCATTAATAATCCTCCTTATTCTCTCTTTATGAGATTTTTTTTTCCAAATTTTGGATTTGCTCTCTCCTTTTGTGAGAGTTTGGTGTTTGTCTTTCTTCTCTTCCCTTATGGAAGATTGGAATGTATTTTTTGGGTTTTATCTGAAAGATTGGATTCATGGGTTGTTATTTGTACAATTTTGCAATTGGCGTTGGAATTGAGGATGCGATCGACATGGTCAAATAATGCATTTTCTTCCCAAAACTATGTTAAGAAGATGGACTCCCTTACAGAAGGATGTATAATTTAGCGAACAATTGGGGATTGTGCTTCATCGTCAGATCTAGTTTCTCATCATCATAATTTTTTTAAAGAGGATTTTTACTTGATTAATTTAGATTGTATTTTACTTTTCTAAAATGTTTATTGTAAATGTTGTATGGCTTTCAATTAATAATATTTTATCTTTCCCTTTAAAAAAAAATTATTTATTTTATTAAATATATGGTTGACTACGATCCCAGTCATTGAGGTCACAAACTCACAATTGGCTATAAATACAAGATCAACCCTTGTACTTGTATCACCCAAAAACAAGTCGTAATTGTGAATTAAAATGGCTTCTTCAAAGGTCTTTGTAATCACCATTATTTTTGCTGTACTTTTTCTAGTCCCAAGCGAAATTTCAGCACGTCAGCTAGCAGAACCTTTCTCAACCAAAAAGACGCGTAAGCTTGTTACTCTTTGCAATGTCATATATAATGTCTTCTTAAACATTTTTTTTTAATCAAGTAAGAAAAAATAATACTACCTTCCATTTACTCTTTTTTTTTTTTTTTAGCTCTATAAAATTAAGAAAAGTCGTCCTATCAACCTGGAAGTCTAGTAGTACTTGATCTATTGACACCTAGTTGAAGAGATTCGGGGAGGGTGGGGATGTTTATATTACGTAATGAGATCACTGACCACCAAATTAAGTACCTTATATTAGGTAGAAATTCAGCTAAAGGTAGTATCTTATTAGATTAACGGTGATTTATGCTTTTAGTCCAAAAAATAACCCCATTGTGTTAAACTAATTCCTTAATTTCTGCAGGTTGTACGCCTTATGAATGTTTTATGTATCCACTTTAACAAGTTTCAATAATAATTTATAGTTAAGAAGAACGTAGAATTTTATTAGATTAGTGGTGATTTATGCTTTCATGATACCAAATTTGTATAATTTTTAAATATTGATAGTTAACTATATTAGTCAATGAAATAACGCATTAATTAAATGTAAAAATTAAAAGTGTTGTAAGTAAATAGAAAAAAGTGATATTCATATACTTTTTTTTTTTTGTTGAAAGGGATATTCATATACTTTAAGATTAATAACTTTCTAGTTTGGATTATTCTACATTTATACTATCAGAACCATTTATAGTAAAATTTGTGCATTGCAAAATATTCAGTATGTATATACTTTATGTATTTTGACTAATTTATTTATTTAAATTTGTTTTTTTATGTTTTTTTTCAGATGTTGTGAAGCACGCTAGTGATCCTATTTACTACTCTAATCCACAAACAGATCCTAATTCGTATCAAGCTGTTCCATGTCAAGGGTGTAATAATTAATGCAATCTCAGTTTCCTAATGTTCTTGATTTAGCAATTTTCGATTCATATATGCTGTTATGTTTTTAATAGAATTTTACTTCCTTTTTTTTTTTTCCCCATTTTTGCTGTACCCTACTTACCTCGCTATATTTATACCATTCAACTCATTATTTCTTACATTCATCCACCTTTTTATTACACATCCATCTGTTTGCTAGAATGAATGTGTACTAGAATTTAAAACAAATAAATAAGTGATTCTCCTTCAAATTAAGTTTTATGTCTTGGGTATATCATGTATGTAGTGGTTCTCACTTGTATTCTCTATGTTGGTTTTTTTTGCATCATAAATAACATACAAACTTTCTATTTATGCTTGTACACAAACTTGTAACATCAGTTGTATTATGAAAACGGATACATATATCGGTATATTAAAGGAAGTTTAACTTATGGATCCAGAGCATCTTACAAGAATATATTATAACACTCTTCCCATGAATGTACACCTTTTACAACAGTTGCAAACATACGTCAAAAGTCTTAAAACCTTTGAAAAAAAAGATATTTCTACACTCGTCGTTTAAAATATAACTATCATACTGGCATACAGGGACACAAACCACGACCAAAAAGAAAAAAGTGTAATGCAAATACTATATTTTCCCACTTAATTTAGCACATACTCCGTAATTCTCATATATATGATGCAAATACAATATTTTATCACATTTATTAATGCAAAAATTCAATTTTTAATATCTTGAAAATTATAAATTTTTCATACTTAAAAGGATTACCAATATACTCTCTTGTCAAAAAAAAAAAAAAAAAAAAAAAAAAAAAAAAAAAGATTACTACTCCGTACTATATTTAGTTTTGATTGACTATCTCATCATAAATGAATTTCTTTTTAAAATTTTATTTTTTTAATTTCAACTATTTATTACTATAATTTTTCAAAATCTTTATTAATTTTCATAATTAATTATCTGCATTTTAAAAAGAAAAAAAATAATTTTAAATAAGTTTGACCAGCAAAATATAAATTAAAAATCAGCTAATCAAAATTGAGTACATAATTAAGGTTATAAACTTGTATTTTCTCTTAATGAGCAAGCCCCGGTTTATAACCTAAATAAACAAATTATGTTTATTAAATGACATTTTTGTAAATAAGTTGCATCGAAAATTGTTTTTTGATTAAAAAAAATATATTTTTACTGTTTGTGGACCACTATGACAAGTTGGACATATTTTCAAAGTTAACAATGTTAACTCTCCGTTTGCTACTATTCATCATCTTCTTCCTCCCACCTTCTTCTTCTTCTTCTTCTTCTTCTTCTTCTTCCTCTTCTTAATGTTCATCTTCTTCCTCTTTTTCATACTTTTTCTTTCCACCCACCTTAATCTTCTCCCTCTAATCTCTGCCCACTTTCACCTTCTCTTTTAAGTTGTTTGACTCCATTGTCGCCGGCTTCGCTGGCAAAATTAAACGAAAATCCTAATAATAAAAGGAGAAATTAATGGCATGGTTAACCCTAAAGGGTAGCTGAGTTTTCCTTCCTCCATAAAATTCGACTTCGCACCACCATTTCCGACGGTTTTACCGTCGGAAGTAAACGAAAATACAAATAACAAAGTGAAAATAACGGGCATGGTTAACTCTAAAAGGTAGATAAGCTTTTCTCCCTCCATTGATTTCGACTTGTTCGACGTCATATAATGAAACTTGTACTTTCCACCATTTAAATTTAAGGTTGAACGAGGAGAGAGAAAACAACAAAGGGTTGAAAGAGTAAAGAGAAAATCAAAAAATACCAAAAGGTTGAAAGAGTAAAGAGAAAATCAAAAAATACCAAAAGGTTGAAAGAGAAAAGAGAAAACAACAGTTAACCAAAGTTAGATGTAATTAAAATATACACCCCTTGATAAACATAAACTTGTATTTTCTCTTAATAAATACAAATTGTAAAATGTTGATTTTTTAAAATAGTCAGAAGAATCTAACTAAATTTGACAAGACTATAATTTTTCTTATATATAAATCACAAAAACTAGTTAAATAAAAATTATAAATAATGACAAAAGTTATAACGTGTAAAAAAATTTGAATTGAAGGAATTAATATAAATATTGTGGATAAAGATTGTATTGGTAAAAAAAGTCAAGTAAGTTCTTGTATTTGCTTGAATTATCGCTTTTAATAAATCATTCGTCAATCAATCTAGCTTAGCAATACAAACAACATTATTGTCAAATTTCATTGTACGTCAAGTTTTTAATATCATGAATTAAAACCAAGTCACAAAGATTCTTGTGTCCAGCTTCTAATTCCGTAATCAATTCTACATGGTTTGAACTTTTGTAGAGATGAAAGTCAAAGTACGTTGTTAGAACGCATGATATGACAGATCCACCATACATAAATTGATACTCCGTAACTAGTTTGAGGTATAAGTTTGAGTGGATCAGATAAAAATAGCCAATATAATTAATCTAAAACTCCCTTTAGGCTAAAATACTTGACACAATTATCATTTTCGTCCGTCCTAAAATACTTGACACGTTACTAAATATGAAATGCGATCATTAATAATAAAAATATATATTTTTCTATACTCTTTTTGGGACCACAAACCCAAAAACCCAATATAATACAAAATAGGATCTTTTATATAATAAACAAATGTTTTAATTGAACCCATGTATAGTTTTTTAAGGGCCAATTCTGATTTATTGAACTGAGCTGAACTGAACTAAACTGAAATGAAATGAATTGTTTATGAGAGAAAGAAATTAAGAACTGAACTGAAAAGAACTAAAATTAAGCTAAAGAGAACAGATTTTAAACTACGTGTCCACCCCAACGTCCCAAGTATTATGGGGACGGAGGGAGTATATACATACCCAATCAACTTGCCTGGTCGCCTAGACACTACTTAACTTGTACTTCCTTCGTCCCATATCATAGTTCCTATTTTTCTATTTTGGAGACCAAAATGTTGTTTCTTTTTCTATTTTTGGATAGTCTATAAAGACCATTATACTCTCATTTTTTTTTACTCTATTCATTATATTTTCTAAATTACCCTTGAATTTTCCACGTGCCTTGTATTTTTTTCGACTTTCTTTCTCTAACTTTTGTCTATAATTGTACTTTTCACATTTTTTTTATGTACTTCATTCACTTTCTCCTTTCTAAATTTTGTCAATAATTATATTTTTCACCTTTTTTTAGGTACTTCATTCACTTTCTCATCCCATTTCTTAAATACCGTGATAAAACACAAACATGAATTATATATTGAGACGGAGGAAGTATTTATTTTATAAAAAATAGTCTCATATCACTAGCTAATCCCACATAAATATCATATAAATATTAATAGTCTCAAAACCGACTCGACTTGAGAAAAACTATAAATGCCTTCATTTCCAATTGTAATTGACCAGATTCGACTCGAGAAATTCAGGGTTCTAACCCAATCTTAAATTCAATCCGAATTCAAATTTGCCCCGATTTGAACTTAACCCGACACCGATTTGACCCGACCTGAACTCAGCCCGAAATAAATTTGACTCGATTTGAATTCAAACCAAACCAGTTTGACGTGATCTGATCTCAATCCGACCTTAAGTTGACATGACAAACCTGACTTAATTGATTTGTTTAACCTTAACGGATATTATCCCGAGCTGATTTTAATCCGATCTGATTTTAACTAGACATTTAATTCATGGACCTTCCTCTTTTTGTTTTCTTCTTGAAACATAATTACTTCAATTCATGTAATTATTTGTTGCATTAATGTTTAAAGTCTTTCTTTTGTAAGGGTCGGCCATTTGCATAACAATATTTTATTATTTAATGCAATAAAATAAAATATACTTTGCACTACATATATTTCTTCAATTTAATTGATTTGATGTGTTTACTATAGTCAAGTTTAATATAATCAATATGTGACAATCATCTATTAATCTATATATCATTAGTTCATTACTTATGATCTCACTTATGAAGTATATGATAAGTCATTGATTTTAATTTGGGTTAAAAATAAAAATGACACAAGAATTGATCTAATGAGAAAACTAATAAACCGTAAGTGTTAATGACACAACATAAACAATGGCACAGGAATGATCTAATAGTGACCTAACTTAAAAAATGCTCTCATTTAAAAATGATTACCTTATTTGAATATTGAATTTTGTCAACCCGCACGGCCAGGTCAAACTTAGTAAAACTCGAAAACGGATCTGACTTGGAATTGACCAAATACGGAGTTAACCTTATCTTAATCAAATTGAACCGAAGTTAACTAAATGAAATCAACTAAACCTAAATCATCCCAACTCAAAGTCATCTAACCTGAAATTAACTCGATCTAACCCACTTTGAACCGATACAAACTTATCATAACCGTATACGAACAATTTGAAGTTGACTTGGCCTTGACTCGACAGATCTTAACCTGAAATTAATCCGACCCAAATCGAGACGAGTCAGAAGGGTAACCTTTTCCTACATACTCAACCCGTCGTAGGTCAACGAACCAAATTCAATTTGATATTGGAATTGTCATCCCTAGTTGTAGGACCAAAAATCAGCCCAACGACGTTGTATGCTCTTTCTAGCTTGCTTGCATACAATACATGATTTAATTTTTCAATCCCGTTTCTTTTGGAGAGATGTATATGGTGCTTTAAAAGCTTTGTAACCGTGATCATTAACATTGAACAATACCTTTAAGGGTGCAAGTTTGACATCTTGAAGATTATTTGTCCTTGAGTTTTTTAAATAAATGTAACTTGGAATAATCTCGTATATGAAAATTCAACAATATTTCATATGACGGCCAACAAACCAAAAGAAATGGATTTGGAGATGTTTATCTATTTCAATTCAAAGATGATATGTTTGGAATTTTCTTTAGCAACATATGCAACATTTTGACCCAAAAACATGTTTTGAACTAAATTGGTTTGTTTTGATAAATCACTTATCTTAGACTTAGTGACTACTTTTATTTGTACGTTAAGATTGTCAAGGCTCTTAGACCGTACCGGTTATCCAAAAGTTTTAGGTATTTGATTAAGCAATATTATTATTATGGTAGAAAACAAGCACCGCTGACAAAATTAAATAATAGAAAAAGAGTACATATTAGCTTAGTAGAAAGATTGCAAACATATATTTATTCAAATTTGCAAGAATATTAAACAAATGAATGGTGCCATCAAGAAGCAAGAATAATAAGTACAATAATAAATTAATAAATAGAATAATAATTGGAGTCTTTGATCATCAAAGTAAGATAATGTTCATTATTGTTCAAGTATGACATCATTTACTTTTTTTATTTGAAACCATG